GCCTCGGCCATAATTGCTCGGTCAAGGACATCTACATATTTGAGTAGTTTCAAAACATTAATCCGATCGAGTATCTCGACATTAAGCACGCCCTTAAACTTCTTGGCCTTTTTATAATCAGTATCAACCATGTGTGGTGCATATCGGGCGAGTTCAGTGAACTTAGATTTATATTCTGCTACTGACATGGTACCTTGTTTCAACTGTTCAAACTCAGTTACCTTGCGGTCTCGGACACACTAGGGAAAATATTTTTCAAAAAAGAATTCTTTAAACTGAGCCCAAGTCGTAGCATTGTTAGTGTCACAGACGAGCATCCACCACCGTCTAGCCTCCTCTTGTAAAGTGAAGGTAGCCAGTAACACTTTGTGTGCTTCAGAACACGGAAATACTTCAAACAACTTTTCGATTTCTAAAACCTATGCTTCGGCCTTTAATGGTTCAAGGCCTCCTTGGAATGATGGTGGCTTCATTTTGTTGAACTTCTGTGTTAAAGCAATAACATCATCATAAACATTCGGTTCCGGTTGTACTGGAGGAGGCGGGGGCTGTTGGTTCTGTTGTTGCCTTAAGGCCTCAGTCAACAGTTCAACCGTTCTTTCTAACCTTGCCATTCTTGCCTCAAATAATTCAGATTCATCGGCATTTCTTGCATTCTCCATTTCACTATAGGCAATATGGTAATAATAAACATAGGAAGTTGCTGACTTAAACATATTAGCACATTAGCACATATATTCATATCATAGCCACACACACTTTCTTATGCTCGTGCAATGCCCTAATTACTTTTCTAGGACATCCTATAGCTCATTTGGACACGTGTGTACAATATAACTCATGCTCTGATACCACTCTGTCACGACTCAAACCAGCCCCTATGGGTTTAGCATCGCAACCGGCCAGTAATCCGTGATTACCAAAGGCCTGTTTAACAGTAATGACAGTAGTACAGAGTAAGGGGCTGGTGGAAGCCAAACAGTAATAAAAAGATGTCCAATGAGCTGTGACAATCTGAATGCAAAAAGACTTTTATGAACAAGCCACATTCATAATCAAAACATATATACATACATCATGCACACAAACAACCAGGTTAGGGACCAAATCCCTTCACCATAACTGTACAGTCAAGTCTTATTCAGTCAATACAAAACAGAGACAAAAGGATGAATCTGAAACACCCCAAAACAACCTTAGCTTGAACGAACTTGGAACCTCGAAGTGAGGCACAATGGTTGGCTCGACAAAACGAGAGCTTAACTTGACGCTCCTAGCTTCGGTCCGGTGCTTGGACACCTACATATAAATATAAACAGTGAGCTAAAGCCCAGTGAATAACAAATGCGTAAAAGGGTTAAGAATGAATGTCCTTTCAATATTTAAAACAGTCAATTGCATCAATAGATCATTTATTCGATCAATATCTCATATTTCATGCCATATCAGTTATTTAGAAATCATAACAATCATACGTGGTACGTCCAATAGCAAAACAGTACAGTAGGTCTTAATAGATCGAACAGTCAGTTGATGGCCATCATAACAATAAACAGTAGTAGTTCCAAACATTGGAATTGACAGAGATCTTTGTAACAGTAGCAGTAACAGTAAGTTGCTATGGATGCCACGAATACAGTTTACAAATAGGACAAGCATTCATTCACTAAACAATATTATTTCAGAAAGCAGTACAGTTAATCATTCAAAAAATAATTATACTTTAACATAGCTTTACAACATTGTTACTCACAGAGTATTAGGCTAAAGACAGGCTAGTCAGCGTCCTCGGATGCCAACCCTACACAGTTGCAGAATGAACACACACTAAGTTACATACTAGGGATTAATAACTTAGCCCCTTAACTTGACTCGGTGTGGTTTTATAACATTATCCTCATTAAGATGCCTTAAACATGGCCTATGAATGCCTAGGATGGAATGAGGATGCAAAACTTGCACTGTAAAACACTTTTCAAAATTTGCTGAAAATAGGGTCTCGCTCGAGCGTGGCTTTCTACGCTCGAGCGAGCTTACCAAAATAGAGGGGTCACTCGAGCGTAGACTCCCTCGCTCGAGCGGTCTGTAAAAACATGAAAAGTACTGGATGTTGAAAATCCCCGCTTGATGCTCGCTCGAACGTGCGTTTGCACACGCAAAGAACCTGAAAGCTTGCAATCCACGCTCGAGCCAGCATTCCGTCGCTCGAGTGGAGCCCGAAACAAGGTGGTCGCTCGAGTATGGAATCCTTCGCTCGAGTGTGGAAGCCAAAATCTGAGATTTCAAGATTTGCTCCCAAAGCTCAAACCAAGAATCAAACATATCAAAACTCATCCTTTTGGGCCAATTTTCTGGAAAACACTTAGAAACCCATAATACAACATGTTTCAAAGATCATTTTATGAAATCAAGCCCAAAGGTGCGACAATTGAACACAATTTTGAATGAAACTTGAAGAATAATGCAAGAACATCACATGCATGAGTTCCTATGAACTCTAATGCTCTAAAACATAATCAAATGCAAGATTGAACTTTAAAACATGGTGAATTCTTGAACCACAACTAAAATATGAACATGCATGTGAGGGTTTCATGAAAACAACCTTAAACTTCAAGAATATGTACATGCATGCATAAATTAATTCTCAATTCAACTCCTTAAATTAATTATTGACATTAATCTCCAAATTTCCATGAACCATGCAAGAAACAACTTAAATTTATGATCAAGAGGATGGATTCCCTACCTTAGGTCTTGAATTCCAAGTGTGGTAGCCTAATCTTGCAACTCTCTTTCAATTCCTCTAATTTTCCAAGCTAATTCTTGTTGAATCAATTTTTCTCCCCTACTCTCCCTCTCTCTCTTGGTTTTGGTCTAGAAAATGGCTGAACAGATGATATGTCAAATGTGTATGAAGTGGGGAGGAGTTAGCCTAGGATTATCCACTCAATGGCATAAATGCAAATAACTCAAGTTGACGTAATTTAGCTTTAACAATTCTAATTTAATCATACCAAATCAAATTTTAATTAAACCTACCATAAAATCCTATAAATCCTAATTAG